GGGGGGGGGGGGGTTTCAAAAATTTAGTTCTTTACAAATGTATATTATATTTATTTCGTAAATAATAATTGCTTTCCTCATGAGCGTAATTGCCTATTATCAGTCAGTATAATAAAACCGTCTAATAATTTTCCCTAAAATAAGCGGAATTTATCTATACATATAGACACAATGGCCTTTGCTGATAACAAATTATTTACGTTAGCCTATATTCTTGACATCCTATGCGCATGTAGATTTCACGACCTTCTTTTAAAATGCCTTTTTTGAATGAGCGAATTTTAAAACATTTTATAGAAGTTAGAGTTAAATTTAAGCGTAAATTCAATGATGAAGAGGCCCAAATATGTTCTACTGGAGGCTGGATTATAAAAAGGTGCAGCCTTGAAAGAAATCTATTTATCACACGAGCTGCCACCGAGAGAGCGCGCCGCGCAGCATCATTCACATTTGTACACTCATGGTTCAGTATACAATGTACAAACCAGACCTTCTGAACCACAAAGGATCGATTTAATAACGTTATTACTGTAATATTCTGTTTTGCTATCAATTTATTGTGAAACCGGCAACCTGCTATTCTGGGGCGCTGCGGCCACGTGACTACAGAAGGCGCGCTCTTGTCTGTTTGGGTTCGTATGCAAATGAACCGACCTCGTGCTCCGCAGAGGGGCTAAATTATTTAGATGCGAAATATGATCGTGTTCCGAATGATCCAGTTGGCTTGAGTGACATTTAATGTCAAATGGAGTAAGCTGTGATGCAAGGGATGGCTACTAGCTGACGTTACTGCGTTGTGCATCACATTAGCTGTGACTACAATAAAGGTGAAATAAAAATAAGTACTGTATGCGTTTTTTTCAGGCAACAATGCATAAATTGTCCCAACTTCCTGAGATATTCTGGGAATTACACTTGTCTCATCCATAGGGTACAGTCGGGGGAGAAGGCACGCTTATTTAACCAATTCAAAAAACAGCTGTGTCTGCCTGTCAGTCACTCTTAGTGTTGGGTTTGACTGATAAGCCTTTAGGGTGGAAGTTTTGAAAAAGTGAAATGGAGTCTAGTGAAAGTTATTAAAAAATCATGCAATTTAGTGACACATTGCATCATGTGAGGGGAATTAACCTGTCTAGTTTCTGTTTCGTTGTTTTTTATCTAACAGGAAACCTCTGTCTGAAAATGAGAAGATAAATATTTCATCAACCCACACTTTCCTCTATCTATTGACTAAATCCCACTCTCTTTTGTACACTTGACCTCAACTTGCCCTGCCCAAACGGATTTCCTAGAATCTCTCCCTCCCCATTGCTAAAAAAAGACATTTTCAAATGCCTAAAAACAGCAAAACCGTCAAGAGAGAGATTGACGATGACGAAGTTACAGAATCTGTCAAAGATTTGCTCTCCAATGAAGATAACTGTGAGGACTCTTTCAAGAGCAGCTCTTTAATGGTAGGAGATGTTCCACAGAATAAGGAGCGGGATGTTGAGGAGGGCTCAGAGGAGGAGGAGGAGGAGGAAGAAGAGAGGCCTGCATGGAGCAGCAAGCTCCAGTACATCCTTGCCCAAGTGGGCTTCTCAGTGGGCCTGGGCAACGTCTGGAGGTTCCCATATTTGTGCCAGAAAAATGGTGGCGGTAGGTTATGACGAATGAATGATATTAATTCAAAATGATCAAGTTAATATATTTGGATTATATTCATATATACAGTAAGTAATTCACCTTGATGAGTAGATCTATATCTATCTATATATCTAGATATATAAATAAAACTGAAACAGCTCACAATTTCACTCTCAAATATTTGAGAGTGAAACTGGGCTGTTTCAGTTCATTGACATGCTTAGAAACAAAGGAAGTACATTTCTAGACTGACAACCTAAAGTCAGACATATGCCTGACACCTCATTTGCAAGTTCTCATGCATTACCTCCATTTCCTTCTTCAAGTCTAGTCGGTGTATTTTCAGACCCAGATATTTTCATATTTTAACTAAGCAATGCATTTTTAGTCAATACAAAGATACACCATAATGAAGTGATGGTTTAGCACTATGTGTGGAAACTCCTCAGGCTAATCAGCTGTAATTTCTTTTGAAACCATAGAAAGTTATTGGAGTAAGAATAGTACCAAAATGACGATCAATAAAAACAAATTAGAATTAGTTGTATGAAACAGAGATCTAAGTTGCATAGCATTGAAATTAATGGTTTTGCATGTGCAGGATAATCACAGGCTATATTACACATCTCCGATTATACAAAGCTGTTTAATGTCAAGAGAAAGCAGATTACAGTTCCTTACCCTGGTCTCCCTGATAGCAATGACATTCATTAGATATGATTACTCATCTCTTTCTCTTTGTTCTCCTTATTTCATTTGCAAAAGACACTTTCAGAGTGAGTGAATGACTTCTGTATCAGAAAGAAACACAGAAGAGAAGCAACCGATGTAATAGCTATCATTTTATAAGGAATGCCACTGTCTTACATTTGGGTTTCACATAGTAACTATTGTGTTTGTACTGTATACATTTACATTTAGTCATTTAGCAGACGCTTTTATCCAAAGCGACTTACAAATGAGGACAATAGAAGCAATCAAAACTAACAAAAGAGCAACAACATGTAAGTGCAAATGACAAGTCTCGGGGTTGACGCACTTTCGCGAGGCAGTAAGAATGTGCCCAATTTAATGTGGATTATACAAGACTAGTGGATGTGTTATAGTCAGGGTTATTACAGTTTTTTTTTTTTAAAGGTGCAGTGTGTAAATTATAGCGGCATCTAGCGGTCAGGTTGCGAATTGCAACCAATGGCTCAGTCCCCCACTCACCCCTCCCTTTAGAGAAGCTAATGTGGCCGATACAGGACTAAAGGTCACACTAGACTTTTCATTCCATTGACTTTCATTCATACGCTTGCGAATGTGTCAGACCGGAAACGCAAGCCTGTGCGAAGATATTTCGCTGCGTAGCAAAGTCCAAGTTTGGTGAACTCTGACCTGCGAATTCGCGTTAAATGCATGAGACCAATAGAAGATCAAAACCTCACAAAGTGACCTCTCGGTACAGAAATGGAGGAATCGCTAATTTTAGCAGTGTCGCATCATCCTGCTTTATACAACACAACTTAAAAATATTACAAAAATCACAAAAAGAGAAGCGGCTTGGTTTGCGGTGGCAAGAGATACAGGAGCGGATTGCACATTTGAACAGTGAAACGTGTAATTTTATGTGATTTTTTTATTACATGAGATTATGTGTGCGTGTGTGTACTTGATTAACTATACTTGTGACTGATTGTAATCACTTAAATAGAAAATAATTATGACTAGTGAGGATATTTTGGCACGTGATGTCATATCCTGCTCCCGCTCTTTGTCGCAGCACCGTCCGAACGAATTTCGCATGCTCAAAGTCTAGTGTGACCGCGGCCTAAGATGTCGTAGTCTGAGACAGCATAGAATAGCCAGCAATGAGGTTTCTTTACAAAGGTAAATTAAGGAACTATATTTACTTAATTATTCAATAAAATGATATGTTATTGCGAATATTATTGTTACTTGTTCATCATTGTGTTTTATTCGCAAGAACAACATAGTGATGAAACGCGCTCTGTTTGTCCTTTAAGGGCTACTGTACAAACATGGTGGCGACTTCCATGTAAGGGGACCCGCGGTGTATGTAGATATAAATTGCTCATTCTAAGTTAATAAAAACATAACGGTTCATTGGGTAAGGTCTTTATACACCTCTGAAAACATAGTTATGTATATTATATTGCATTTCTGTCAATAGATCTTCCTAAATATTACACACTGCACCTTTAAATAAAAAAAATTAAATAGATAAAGTAGAATTAAAATAGAATAGAAAGTGATAGAGTTAGAGGGTCAAATAAAGATGGAACAGATGTGTTTTTAGTCGTTTCTTGAAGATGGCTAAGGACTCAGCTGCTCGGATTGAGTTGGGCAGGTCATTCCACCAGGAGGGAACAGTTAATGAAAAAGTCAGTGAAAGTGATTTTGTGCCTCTTTTAGATGGCACAATAATGTGTCATTCGCTTGCAGAACGCAAGCTTCTAGAGGGCACATAACTCTGAAGTAATGAATTTAGGTAAAGGGGTGCAGAGTCAGTGGTGGTTTTGTAGGCAAACATTAATGCCTTGAATTTTATGCGAGCAGCTACTGGTAGTCAGTGCAAGTTGAAGAACAGAGGTGTGACGTGCGTTCTTTTCGGCTCATTAAAGATTGTACAGTTGTACAGTAGTTTGTGTCAAAGGCCTGTTGTCTGCACGAGAGTTTGACCACAACCCTGCCGTGTCTTACTTTCCAGGTTATAATACGTAAGTGAGTGTGACCACCCTGCTGTGCAGATCAGTAATTAGATTAAATAGGTCACTGTGTGTGGGCCGTGTCTATCTCTGTCTTTGCCAGGGCAGAGCAACCACATCACTGCACCATCTGTGTGCCATCAATGATAGCACGTTTTGTCCTCAAAGAAACACCCCTACAACATTTTGCTGCCTCAGTCTGCCAGAAGTCATCTTACGCACAACCTGTAGAGTCACCAATTCTTCAACCAGCATCCAACAGTGCCCCAATCTGACCTATATTACAAACCTTAAACAAAATGCCAAAAAAAACAATTCTACTATTTGAAAGTTAATTAGGCACAAAATCTAAAGAACCATATTGCTGTCTTCAATAAAGTTGCTAAGTAGATTAACTGTTAAAACGGTGATATCATTGATGAAGCTTACCTTTTTCATTATGTAGCAAAGCCTGGGTTAGATGCAAGCTCCAGAAATTGGATTAAGCCTATATAAGAGGAAATCAATGCTAAATGGCCTGAAATTGTTCATGCCATTTCCCAAAGCCTGGACTATAAGGTTGACACCCAACAAAAGGGTTATAATAGTTAACTAAAATAAAACAAATGTTGAAATAAAAGATGCAAGACATTTTGAAATAAAAGTTATACAGAACATTTTGTAAATGACGCTTCAGTTTATGTAATAACACTTCAGTTTATGTTCCCAATTGCATGTCTCTAAATATAACAGATGGTGTTGTTTAAAATCATCACAATTGTCTGTGAATCTCAGTAGGTTTCTGTGTGTTAAAGCACATGACTTCAACATGTTGGAGGAGCAGCAGCCCTACAGTACTCTCAAAGCAATGCCATTGTATTGAAGCTGTTCCCCATAAGGCACTTGGAAGGAATGTTCTATCCTGTGCCACTGGCCATGCTTGAACAGTTTGAAAATGTCAGTCTCATCCTTCTTTGGCTCTCTGAAACGGTTAAATTCAAGAGAGAAAATATTTGCAAATAATTATAGTGGGTTACCTCATTCATTCATATTTTGTAAAATACTGTAAGATTAGGCCAGTGTTGTTATTGTTAACTAAAAATAATATTAAAAATGTGTTTTGTTAATTGAAATAAAGCTGAAATAAAATAGAATATAAATATAAGATGAATAAAAAAATACTTTAAAAAAAGTCAAGTAGAAATGTTGCCTTGACAATTTTGACGTACTAAAACATTAAAAATCGAATTACAGTAAGTAAAGCTTAATAAAAAAGAAAATTGGAAATATAAATTAAATATTCAAAATATTACAGTTTTTCTCAATCTTTGATCAAAAATTGAAAACAGTGACCCTAAAAATTGAAACTCAGGTCACTGTTCTCAAAATAGTTAACACAGTGAGCTGAACACTTTGTAATTGTCCTAAACAGATTGTACGTTTTCATTAATTTCATAAAAATTATAAATCATGCAAATTATGTTCTCAAAACAATGTGCACAAAACTCAAATGTTTTCACAATAGTTATTACAACCAACCAATACTTTAAAATATCTGAAAAAAGATTTTACACAAATCACAAACATTTATGTACCAATTGTCCAAACACAACAAACAAAACTCTGTAATGTCTTTCTATCAAATGAACATGGTATATTTTCAATTGGCCCTAAACTGATAACTACTCGGTTAATTATACACACACAACACAGGAAATGCAGTTTTCCTAATCATTTACACATTTATCACAATTGCTTTAGAGTAATAATAAAAGGGAAAGTATACAAAGAGCAAGAACGAATTGGCGAGTTACTATGTCAAAAGTGTTGTACTATATGATTGTTAATCATACAGATTTACTGTGTCATCGTAAACATGGTCTGTCCATTCTTGTAGAAGTTTTCATGATCAACTAAATTATGACCGTTTTAGTGCAAAAATGTAGATCTCAGGGAAAATACCCAATAAAAAAAACTAATAATATGAACCCATTTAAAATGTGTCCATAAAATAAATTATACATGGGCTTTAAGGATTAAGCTAGTTATTAACTTCTGTTATTTACTGTAAATGTCAAAACATTTTTCAGAATTTAAGTTGGAGGAACATTCAGGTGTACAATCAAGATTATTTTGAATGGAACAGCAGCATTGATGACATGGTAGTCCAGAACAACACTAACAGCCACAAATTAAGAGGTCTGTGGAGATGTTGAGACAGGAGCTTGTCAAGCATAGATTTAACCTTCTTAAATTTTTTCTCCTATGATGCAAGCGCAGCAAATATGTAGTGTAGATAAAATGCAATTAAATTCTCTTCCAGATGTAAATAAAAGGCAAGATCAATAATTCAGGATAATTCATGTATACAGCAAACACACACACAGGGGCGGACTTGCCCATTAGGCAAAGGTAGGTGACCGCCTTGGGCCCCCAAAAGCCAAGGGCCCCCTAAAATGCTTTTCATAAAGGAGATGTGCATTAAGCGCTGACACGCGAACGGTTGCTGTTTACGGTGTTTATTACCACGACAACCGTCCGAGTTGAACGTGCTTTTTGTGTATTCTGCTTGAAGGAGATGAAAATATCATGCATCTGAAGCTGTCTTATCCAATATTGAGAAACAGTGTGTATTATATGTTTATAATTGTTTTAAATGCCGCTTACTCATTTATAAGAAGGAACCAAGTAAAGGACACATATTCAGTTACTTTTTTGGTTGATATAATCCTTAGGTGTGTAAATGTATAATTGCCTTTTCATAATTTCAGTTTTATTTTAATTTGTAGTTAAAATAACTAAAAATAAATGTATTGTAAAGTTTAGAATTAGACAGACTTTGCACACAGGCTTACGATGGTAACTCATCAGTGGACTTTCTTCATCAATATAGACTATTTTTTCACACTTTTCTCATTCTCACTAATTCAAGGTTTTATATGAATGAATCTCTGAATGGAACCAACTTTCTTCAGAAAAGTTTTGATGGCATTTTCATTTTATCTGATAAAGTAGCTTATGAGATTGATCTAGGAAAATGTCTGCAAATGTATAGGGCCCCATTCCTATATTTTGCCTGGGGCCCCCAATTCACTAAATCCGCCCCTGCACACACACACACACACGTGTGTGAATACAGTGGTGGCCATAATTATTAGAACACTAGTATTTTCACTAGCTTAAATCCACCAGCCTTTGCACACAGGCTTACGCTGGTAACTCATCAGTGGACTTTCCTCGTCAATATAGACTATATTTTTTCACACTTTTCTCATTCTCACTAATTCAAGGTTTTATATGAATGAATCTCGGAATGGGACCAACTGTCTTCAGAAAAGTTTTGATGGCATTTTCATTTTATCTGATAAAGTAGCTTATGAGAGGAGCGCTGCTTTGTTTACAGCCTTTACCAGGGAAACTGCTATATTTCTGACGTTCCAAAAGCGCCTCCTGCTGGCAGAGAATGAATGTTCATTTTCAATAATCCAGTTTGTAGTTTTTGTTCAGACCAATGCGAAAATCCACCCACATAACCCCGTTTTAAATTAATATCATAATTTATACTTCTGACTCACCCCTGGTTTAAA